TGTATGCCATGGTGCATCCCTCGTGTGAATAAATTCTTACCCGTTCACGCCATCAGAAATGATGTGCAATTTTTGTGCAAATGTATGCCCATGTTTTACCCCTCTTGCCTCCATGATTAGGGAAAGGGCACTGAAGGACGCGACGCAGAAAAATAGCTTTGATCGACTGTGTAGCTACTTGGTCATAGAGGATGGAGAACCCATAGTTAACTTTAAGCCCAAGCATATCTGGAGATATAACATGATTCCCTATGGTGAAAATAACCCAGACACGAAGACGTTTGAAATTCCGGCACACGAGAAGCCCTTTAGATCCTTTGCATTAAACTTTACATATAATAATCTGTCAGGAAATTGGGGAGATTACATTGACAGAAGAGACAACAAGGGATCTTTGCTAAGACCGTCAAGGTACATGTTCACAGATGTAATAATACCTGCCACAAAATAGTTTTAAAAACAATTGAGTTGCGAAGTCGCGTGTGTGTACAACGGGGCATGCGTGCGCTGCACATTTGTGACGAACACCGCACACATGAAACATACACTACACATGTGTGTACACGTGTACGCCTTTTTTTGATAAATAGAAAAAATTATTATTTTGAAAAGGATATAAAAAAAAAAATTATGTCATGTGCAAAATGAATTTGCTTTAATTCGTTCATTTAACGAAAATTAAAAAAAATCGAGTTAAATTAACCACGATATGTACACGGTTAAAAGGTCGAATGGGGTACGAATGAGATTACTATAAAAATCAGTTCGGGGGGGGTGCAAACATGCTTGTCATGCATGGTGCCTGCCCTACCCTAGGCATACCAATACATACATGCATACATACGTACATACATATATATATTACATATACGTACGCATGTGTATGCGTAAATAGAAGCGTAATGGGCCTCCGATCAACCCGGGCGGCACCTACGGAGCGTAGTTGTTCGCACTGTAGAAGTTCCCATTCGGATATACTCCGTCCATAGGTGCTGCCCCGGGGTACATTGGATTAAAACCATTTTGCGGAGGCATTTCATTAAAAGGGGGGTAGTTCATCATGTATGCAGGATTTGGTGCAACTTGCTGCGCATACATGTTAAAATTACATTGTTCGCTATTCTGCATGAAAATATTTTGGGGATTCATATTTTCTGGCAAATTATTATTATGCCCGTTGAATGCCATCATTTCAATGGGAAAGGGTGGGGAAACAGGGACACCCAAAGGGACATCCATAGGGACACCCATAGGAACATCCATAGGGACACCCATAGGGGCATCCATAGGGGCAGCCATGGGGACAGCTATAGGGACATCCATAGGGACATTCATAGGGACAGCCATAGGGACATTCATAGGGACAGCCGCAGGGGCATTCATAGGGACATTCATAGGGGCAGCCGCGGGGACATTCATAGGGACATCCATAGGCACAGCCATAGGGACAGCCGCAGGGACATCCATAGGCACAGGCATGTTGCTGCTTTCATAATTCATATTATTGTAAAAATTTTGCATAGGGTTGTTAATAAACGGTTCTGGTGCATTATTAAAATTCATATTTTTGTTTGGATAGTAAAAATACGCATTGTTATTGAAATCTGGCTGGCTTTGACAGCTATAATTCATGTTAAATTTATAAGGGTTATTATTATTATCGAAATTTTCCTGTGCACCTAGATGTAGTTTCTGCTTTTTACTTTCGTTTCTATTCATATCGTCTAATTTTCTTTTACAATCTAGGTTCATTGAATTTAAGACAGACTTGAGAACGTCGTCAAAATTTTTATTTTTAATTAATAGATATTTTGAAATTCCCCTATGAACCCACGGTAGTTTGTAATAATTATCATCATTGATATTTGCCGCGTGGTCGTATATATAGTTATTATCGTTTACATCTTCGAAGTCTATTGGAAATTTGCTATTCATCATGTGGTCAATAAAGCCACATGGGTTTTCATAAAAATTTGTGTAACGTAACCTTAAGCTATTTTTCTGTTTAATTTTACATAAGATGTTTATAATTTGCTCATCCATGTTATCTATTTGGCTTTGTATTCCATTTAGCTTTTCAAATATAGAAATTGTTGGCGAATTTAAATTTGCTTCTTTTTCATTACTGCCCTTGCGCGATAAGGAGTCTTCTTTACCTGACCGTTTTTCTTTCTTACCTTTTTCTTTACACACGTTTGTATCGCCCACCTCTTGGACGTTCTCACGATGTGAACTTTCCTCCTCTAATGCATCTCGATTCTGTTTCGTGCTGGTCTTCACCTTAATGACTTCGTCCCTTTGATCCGCTTTTTCATCAGACTGGTCTCCATCCTTGCCTTCTCCTTCCTTGTTTTGTTTGGAACTCCTGCTATTTGCAACATCACATCTGCTCATTTTATCGCTGCTGCCATCCATCATTTCATTCATTTTCAAGAATTTTAACAAATTACTGAGGTGATGTGAATCGAGAACAAATTTTTGAAGCTTCCCATCTTCGAAAGTTATGAAGGGTTCAAAGACGTCCACTACGATATCGTAGATGGTCTCGGATTCATCTTCCTTCTCTATATCGGCAACGTGTTCTAGAACTATTGGCTTCTGAATAGAGACATGTTTCTGTAAAATTCTGGGGAGCTCACAAAATTCGTATTCATCTACCTTTAACACGTCTCTTAACACTTCATCCGTTCTCATAATCCCATTCGAATCAATTAACTCCTTTTCTAGGCTATATTCATAAATACGCTTTATAACTTCCGGCATGGTTTCTTCGGGGGACTGCATAAAATTCTTTAACTCAGGCGAAAGGTCGAAAAATGGTATTTTTTGATCTAAAAATAGAAATATTTTAATTGTCTCCTTTTTTCTTTCATTCACTATACGATTAAATGTTAGCTTATCACAATCGTAATAATTTTTATTATTCTTATCAAATATAATGGTTTCTTTGTCTCGCATAACCATGATGGTTGAAAAGAAGGAAGTAAATTTCATAACAGTGGTGTTGCAATAATCTACTTGCTCATTCTGGGAGGATAAATCAGCGATGTGTGGGTCTGAATCTTTGCTCTTCGCATCCTTCCTTCCTGTCCTACTTTCGTCTACTAAATGGCTTAAATCGTTATCATGATTTTTACTTCTGTTGGCTGAGACTGTATCAACGCCAGGGGAATTAGCATCATTATCGTAATCACTTTCATCGCCATTTACAATATAACCATGAATGTTAAATGTAAAAGACGAGGGAGAAGCATGCTTATAAATATTCTCCGAATCTGCTATTTCAATATCAGCTGGATAATTCACTTCTGCGTCGCCATCATTGAAAAGGGTGTATATGTGAACCCTCAACCTGCGTCTTACTTTTTCTGTCTTTAAGGTGGATGAGAATGCTTCATTAATGTAATAGTTGCTCATGTCAATACATCTATTTATCTCCCCTTCATACTTCACCAACGTTTCAATTAAATTGTAATTTTTTTCATCTATCTCTTTAACCGTCCTAGTAAGCACTGTGTTATATAAATTCTTAATAACATCCTCCTTCTCATAGTAGTTACTGTCAGCAAACAAGTAATTCGAATTTAAACGATCTATACCCTCCATGTATTCTGTCAAATTATCAGAGGACGGTCCAACAGTATTCATACACAGGTGCGTAACAAACAAAAAGCTCCAGACCAATTTTCGTAAATCCTTCGGTTATCTTTGTGTTTTGGTTAATAACATGCAAAATGATGCTAACAGGTGAGTTATCATTCATGGAAGTTCTGTTATTTAAAAGTTAAATTAAAAAGTTGAAAAGAAATATAAAACTACCTTTAAAAAAAAACAGGGGGTGGGGAAAAAAACGCTTCCATTCATTTTTGTACTAACTTTAAACCTTAAAAAACACAAAAAAAAAAAGAAAAAGTACACTTAAAAAATTCCATAATTTATACTTCTTAATGGTAACAAATATAATGATAAATATCTATATCCTCATAATTTTACTCTTTACATACAAAAACAAAATCGCATGAGAGTAGCTGTATTTTGATGTAAAATCACATAGAAAAAATGCTGATTATTACATTAAAAGTGAATGTAAATGTTATGTATATAATACATACATGTTATGCCATTTTACAATCCAAATTGTGACCATTTTTAAGAAGGGAAAGGAACACCCAAAAAGAAATTGTAAATATATTGTGCTATTCCGAAAAGGAAAAAAGAAAAGAAGAAAAAAGTACCCAAGCACAGATTAAAAGGAAACGTGCATAAAAAAAAAAAACTTAAAAAAAGAAAAAATAATCAAAAAAAAAAACTGGCCTAGCCCCAAAATTATATCTAAAACCGGAACCATCAATCAATAAAAAAAAAAAAAATAAATAAATAAATAAACAATTTTTTTTGGAATGATCCTTTCACCAAATTGGGACCAAAAGACCCTTCTTAAAAAACGGTTATTGATTATATCAGCACAACTTGAAAAGCGAAAATAATAATTGTCCAGGAATAATCCATCATGGGGGAAAAAATTCTGAACGATGGTTGATGAATTTTACAATTATGCATCACATGAATAGATGCATAACATGCATAACGCGAAAAGTCGCATTTTATACATTTTTTAAAAATATAGAACAACGCAATTGAATTTTCAAACAAAAAATAAAATAATAACATGGAAAATAAAATTCCTTTTTCATTCGTGAAAAACTTATATTTAAGCTTGAAAAAAAAAAAAGAGTTATCATTTAAAAACGAAGTCCCCCTTAGCGTATGGTACCCGTATTTGAAGCATATAGAATAGAACTATTGAATAACAGTACAACGTTAAAGGATATTTACTTTACGAAATACAAGTGAGGTATACGTTAATTCTTACCTCTTAAACGTAGTACCAATGTACAACAAGGTTAACCAAAATGTTTTCATTCAAATAGGTATGCTCACAAACTCACCTTAAGAAGTGAGCAATAGCGCACACAAGGGGAAATTTCTTTAAAAATAAATCAGAAAGAGCAAGGTGAATCATTCCATAAGTACAATTCCATGTTTTGTAAATCCTCTTGCCCTTTGCATTCAACCGGAACCGTCATGAGTATCAGAATGCGCACTTTTGTTATTAATTCCTTCTTCGTAAGTACACATGATTCGTGGTTATGCACCTTTTGTTTTGTTTTATGCGCTTCGGAGGTTGACGTCTTCTTGGTCGTTGCCTCTATTACATAGTCGGTTGTCGCCTTTTGGTAGTGCTCTTTCGGTTTGTCAGACCATTTTTCTTCAGCGTACTGTTCCTTGTGTATGTGTCTTTTTTGGAAACCCACTTTCCGCATACACATTTTTGCCCTTCCTTGAAGGGAATACATCGTTCCCTTTTTAATTGGTGGCATTCTGATAGCTCATTTTCCTGGAGACATTCTTGTTCCCTTTTCCATTCCTTCTTTAAGCTGTGAAACCAAGTTCTATCCTTGATCTTACGAAAAATATGCTTGTTTCTATGTTCCGAATTATGCCACCGATGCTTTTGTACGCACTGTTCATTCCTATTGCGTGCATCTGCCCGGATAAAATCGGTATATGAGGTAATTTCACACGTGTTACGTTCATATTTCAGAAATTCGGGAGGGATTATTTCGAGAAAATGTTCCCTGGTGAATTCTCACTATTCCTTTCTCTATTTCTCTGAAATTTCCGTATGTATATCTGCAACCGTTTGTAAGACACCTTCTTTTTTCCTATGCACAACTAATCCCTTTACGGTGGCATGATTATGTATTGAGGATTCATATTCTAGGTTGCCTACTGATGGGTCCAACGTATCATAGGATATATCCTTTTTTTTTTCTTTTTTATGAGCAGGCTTTGCCGCTGATTTATGTATTTTTTTGGAATGTCCCTTCTTCCTTTTGAGGCCAAACAGCCATACTCATGATGTGTACCGTGTTAATGGGAAAAATTCGCAAAAATGGAGTAGTTTCAAATGTGCGCACTCTTCCAGAAGCTAACGGTGGTGTTATACATCATATTTGATGTGTTCGCATACATGTACGTATATTTGTATTTTGACAGAAAATTGAAACCCTATAATGGAAGCGCCCACAGGTAAGATAATAGTGAAAACTATAATTAGGGAGACATCTCCTGCTGTTACAGTTCGTTTTGGTCTTGGCAAAATGGACCTGGGTATTTGGACATTGGGCTTCCTTGGGCTCGGAGGAGGATTTGTTCCTACACTTCCTGATTCCACTACACCTGGATCGTATAGTTCAGTAGTAGGTATTCTTACAGGACCTTCACAGGGTGATGGTTCAAAATTGGGATTCTCTGTAGGAGTAATATGGCTACTGTCGGGGGAAACGGGCATTGGGGATGGTTCCGGAGCAGATTGTCTTTCTTCCCAGGGAAGAGAAATCTTGTGTGGTCAGAACTGTCTCTTATAAATATTTCGATACCGGAGAAAACTTATGAAGTGGATCAAATGAACGGACACGACTACAGGTGGTAGATTGGGAGGGTGATACAATTAGTCTATGGTCTGCTGTGGGAGGTAGCATCGCTTGGGGACCTGAATTGTTACGTACATATTCTGGATGATTAATAGTTTTGGGTGTTATGTTACTTTCTTTATCTAACACATCAGCAAATATCTGTTCTTCGCTTCCAGAAAGTGTTACTGTTCTTCCTCTTCCATAAGCTGAACTTGGAATAAAGCTGAATAGGGCAGCTTCGTGGGGTCCGGGAGAATTTAATTCAGTACATAATTTGACAGTTTAATCTTTGTCTCTAATCCTGTTGTAACCTTCACAAGTAAAGAAATCATTAGTATGATAATGTGTTGTGCTCAAATTGAGGGGAAAATATTGCCTGGATTGTGAATAATAACGGGGGCATCGAAATCTTTTATGAAACATAGTAATAGTAGCACAACCTTGTAAGATATAGAACACGTGGTGAATATTGGCTGCTGCAACATATGGTATGCATGAAGCATGTTTTGGATTATTAGTTACCTGCTGCATGAGCCACTACATGAATTTTTTGCATTCACCCTTTTCATCAGAATGCTTCCCACCCTCAGAGAGTAAAGAAGTTCTCATCCCTCTGTTCACAAAACACTTATATCTTCTTCCATATGTTCCTTATGTCTTTAGGATACGCACCTTAGGGGGCTCTGGGACAATTGTCAGACCGAAGGGTGTCCCAAGTGCCGAATATAGTATCCATGAATGATTCACAGTTTCACTCGACAAGCTTGTGGGGGTGTGATTTTAGAAATGCTGCAGAATAATAATTCAGATCCTCCACCATGTAGTTCAGTCTAATACATGAGATAGATACCTCGATAGTTCATTATTCGCGTACCATGAGGTGTACATACGTTATAATTTGGTAAGGATATGTCTGTTCAAAGTGTTTATACTCCTGGAGGTGTTTTATAAACTGGGCTACTGCTAAGTTGTGAAAAATAAATGCTCGTATGTGTGCCATTCTGTGGCGTAGTAATATTTCCCCTCCATTTCTAACTTGTGCCCTCTGAATCTTCACGGATAATATCCGTGAGTACACGAAGATATTCCACTGAACGAGTTCTGTGCTGCAGAGGAAGGAATTCATACGCTATACAAATATGGAGCAAATGTAAGTATCCTAATGAGATGTCCCTCTATGATATAGTTCATTTTATGGAACATTGTTTACGACGTTTGTATGATAATTTGCTATGTCAGTTGGTTTCTAAAAATTCGTTTTCTACGTAGCATAATGAAAATGGAATTTCGAACATACCTATATTTTCTACACGTCTATTAGATTCATAAAATGATGAAAAAATACGTGCCCCCCTGGATGCAGTTATTTATTCTTACGTAGCATATACGACCTTAGGGGCCTCTGTATAAAAAGCTAACTTGATTTAGGAAAAAAACATAGCAGAAAAAAAAAGAAGAATTGTCATATTATCACATGGATACCATATGATGATAACGGATATTGCGAGCCCTTAGGGCTTTAGGGATCATGTACATTTATGAGGCAATGTAACCTCTAGCTGTAATAGACAGGAAAGAACAAAGTGAGATATCGCTAAATACTATTAGGGACTTCTGTGTAGTTGTTGTTTAAAAATGGCTTCCTCTGATAAAAGAGGATATTTATAAATTTTTTTTTTTTTTTTTTTTGAGACAGAGTCTCAACCAATGGCACCTTTGGGCAATTTAAAGGATTCGCAATATTTTTATATATACTCCGCACAGTATAGTTTTCTTCATTTCCAATTTTTTAAAAATAAGAAGGAAGTGGAATTTTGTTAAGTGTAAAAGCTTCTGAAATCAACACTCATTTTAAGAAACCCAGGGAGAATTAAAAATTTTGTGTTATTTTTTAGTTTATTCATCTTCCAGCTGAAGCAACTTGTATATTCCAGCTGAAGCTATTTGTATATTCCAGCTTCAGCCTATGGTTCCAGATATGGTCATAAATTAAAGCAGTGTCAACCGGGTTTATATTATTCATCCGCATATAGTGAAAATAATGCTCGAACGATAGCACATGTCGTAAAGGTGCTGCCAATATAGATAATTTTAGCCGAACAATTCTGCACCATTTTGAGCTTTAAAAGAGTTTCGGATTTTTCAGGAAGTGGAGGAAAAATCAAATCATATAAACTCAACTAGCGTAATCGCTGTTTCGACTTATGAGAAAATCTACATACATTAATCTGCGAAAGAAAAAAAATAAGGCTTAAGGAATCTTACAAGTATATCCTCCAAAAAAGAAGGATGTTAAAAGGTATATTTCTAATATACAACATTCTATTTTGAACCACCAGATTCATATGTCATATATATGTTCATACTCAAATGCATTATAAAGGTTTATTTCCACTATTTAATGTTCACACAACGGGATTTAAAATGTAACACAGAGGGAGATAGAATGCGCAGATTTCGTTAGGGCGAAATTTCTGTTATTGCTCATTTGTGCAGTATGTCCACCGGCCGATGATGCCAGGCGTACAATTTATTCTCAGCGTTTTGACCTGCTCCCGTACACATTCAGGCCTGTTGGGGGCTCAGCCTCTTTTTTCTTTTTACCTCTCTCGCGACCATTTCATAAGCCATAAATTATAAACAATTACGGAAATGTTCCTGTTATTACAATTAAGAATTCAATGGTTACTACCGTAAAACTTCATTATATTAAATATTCCTCACCAGTTAATATAATAAGAGCTGCCAATAATGATGTTCTCCTTTACATATGACCTGATACAATAGAAAGATATGCTCATTGATCTGCACTTGCTTTTATTCTTCCAAAGTATGCACTATGAAGACTAAATTATAATTTACTTAACCATAAGTAACATGTGATAGTTTTATAAATAAAGAAAGTTACAAAGGGTTGCACCTATGAAGAGACCATAAATGTAAAAAACTATTCAGATAATTCTTCACCCATCGTTTAGGAATTATAGAATGCACTGTTAAGGAATTACTATTTCATCAGATATTCCTTTTGTTAGACATTAATAATACAAATTAGAAATCAATATTGCACTAAATCAACCTTCCTTGATCTGCTGTAGGATTCTTGTATAATTGAAATTAGACACTTCATCGCAATGAGAAAAGTACACTGCAGAAATATTTAGTTTTATGTAATAGTTTCCTGATTTTATTCAATAGTGGAGTACGTTCTTTATGTACTACATCCAATTCTAAGAAGACGAATAGATCTGTGCATTATGGCATAGTATAAACATCTATGACTGTGTCACAAGTTTTCCAGATTCTTTCCCGTAAATATGCCATTATACGACATCGAAGAAATAGCACAATATAAGCATTTGTAAACGAATAAATATAATATTCATAATAGAAGATTACCTAATAAGGATTACTCAACAGCACATATTTCAGGTTATTGTTCCACAATCCTCAGAGGAGACAAGTACGATGAGTCATCTGTCTTGCTTAGAATGTAACATTCGAAGTATTAGCGGAAATATCTCAGGGAGAAAGGAAGCAAACAGAAATAATCCAACTTTTCACTGTACCCATAGCAGGAGAATGTTATTTTTCCTATAAATCCTGCCAGTGGAACCAGCTACAAAATAAAAGCGCTATAACAAATCGATACATTGCAAGAGTAAGGCAAGTTAAAATGAGACTAACAAATTCGCCATAAAAATGCACGCGCAGAATAATCGTTCATTGGAACATGAAAAGAATACATAAAAAACTGATATGCCTCGGTCACATTTTTACATAGGCATAGCAGTACAATCTATAAATATGTGTTTTATATTACAAAGAGGATATTTACCTGGTTACTATAATTTTTGCGATGGGTCGGGAAACTCCCCCCATTACATCATTCAAATCTTTAATGCAGGAGCTGCTGATGGTACAGCCTGTATAATAATGAAAAAATATAAACAGAGCTCGCACACACACAAAAATTAGATGAATGGATAAACGAAAGATATTCCACATTGTCACGCAGAAAATTGGAACAATTCATTACATCAATGTGGGGAATACATATATAGTACCGCAAAAAAAAGAAGCCGACGCCAACGAGTCGTTTGATTCGTGGGAGATGTGAAAATTTACGTGCCATGTGTTTGCCAGTATCACAAAGAAATAACCCAGGAATCGCACAGCATGATGTCCGCAATACAAGCACCAGCAATCGCGCCCAATAAGGATACTGCCTCAATCTATTTCTTTACACTTAGGGTTCGCACCCCTCGCGCAGCAACCAATTTCATATTCTAGAATATACAAACATCTCTCAGTTGGTCAAAAGGAAAAATAAATTTGAAATGATTAGGAAGAGAGCATATTTCTATACATATCACAACTGACATGGAATTATGTTCACTAAAAACTCCCAGTTAAGAATAAGATAGTCCAAATCGGCAAACAAATTGAATTAAATGCGAATCGCGATTTCTGAATAATATTTCAAAAAAAAAAACATAAAATATAGGCACAT